TTGTTTTTTAAGATAATGTCTTAAAATCCAAATGGCCCACCATTATATATGGTTTATATAATGGTATAGATAACGTTTATGCAACTAGGAAACTTCTTACCTGGATACTGATACTCATAACAGTTACTAGATGAATAATGGACACCTTTAATTATATATACTTTGTTTCTATTTCTAACATTAGCTTTTGCAAAAGATTCATGAACTCCTGATGATGATGATGAGGACACACTTGAAACTATGACATCTTTTCTTAAACCCTAAAAAAAATTCAAATAATATTTCAGAGCAATACAATAATACTAAAAAAAGAAATTAATAGAGTAAAGTTAGAAATATTGTACCATATGATTTTGATCGTCTTTTTTGGCTAATGAGTCGGTTGTTAAAGAGAGTTAAGTCAAATCGTAGAACCAAAAGACAAAAAAAGTTAAAAACCACAACTTAAGAAGATGAATATTATGATACATTCTCAACTATTTTAGGAATAATTATGTGATTCTTACTAGAGGTAATTGATAAAACATTGGAAAATGGAAGACAAATAAAACACATAAATTGATTACCTAAAACTCAACATCAAAAAAGTGCTTTTCGAGTGCTTACATTATCCATTCAACAAGAGAAAACAAAAGCAAAACATAAATTAGGAAAAACCATAAAACAATTCACATTATAAATCCAAAAAATAATGATTGTAGAGAAGTGATATTAACAAAAACAGTAGCCTCGTTGGTGTTGTTAGTGCATATGTAGTTGAGAATGTATGGATGCACGAAAGAGGGAGTCGGGGATTAGAGTTGATTTTGACGAACTGGGTCGACGGAAAATTAGGGTTAACGATGGCATAGATCAAAATAAGTAGGAAGACGTGAGTTCGAGAAGGGGAGTGGCAACTTCAAGGTGGTTAAAAGTACAAAAAAGGTCGGAAGAAGTCTTAAAGGAGATATCCACTTTAGTTTGTAGAGAGTGTGTGAAGCCAAAACACTTGGTGTGATAATCGGAGATGCAAGGAAGACGCCAGACGAAAATTCGAGGAATACATGAGCAAAAAGGAACCACCTTGTGTTGCTTTGTTCTTCTATGAACATAGAAAGCATGAGATGGAAGAAGGAGAGTGGTAAGGAGACCGCGGTGCAATAGGTGACAAGAGGAAGAGAATTAGCTTAAAGAGGGAGTTGTCGGTTCCAAACCAGGTGGTATCAGTTCCAGCTCAAAACCGATATTGTTCCTAAGCCATGTCGTGAACTAAATGTATAATAATTTCAACTTAAATATTCAAAGAGTAATTCTTATTTAGTTTAATTTAATGAAGGAAAATCTTCATAAATAGTCCCTATGGTTTCCAAAAAAATAAAGTTCAGTCCTTAACTTTTTAGGTCATCAACGATGGTTCCTGTGGTTTAAAAACTTTTAATGGATGGTCCTTTTGGGTGACTTCGTCAGATTGAAGCTGTTAACTGCCCTCACATACTCTGCATAAGAGGGTATTTTTGTCATTTCACTTGATCTCCCTTCTTTATAAGGTTGCAACGACCTTAATTTCTAAACCATTTTCTACCTTCCCTTCTTGAATACTTCTTCCACTATGCCGAACTCAAGAAAATGGTGTTTTGCAGATGTAGAGCTCAAACAATGAAGGTGACTTCTTAGACCAATCATAACCTACGTAGGCAGTTTTGTAGTTGTTCTAGGTATGGTGGGAGATGCGGGGTACTTAAGTGGGATGACCCTCCATTGTGCCCTAGGGCAATGGTGGTGATTCTAGGTTTGCTTAGAGCCATGATATGGCAGAACTCCTATATTTTGAAGTGTTGAAGGTGAAGATGCTCCTACTTGTTTTGATGGGTGTTTTTTTATATTATTACACCCATTAAATTTTAGTTTGTTTTGATGTTGGTAGTTTGATTTCATGTTGAACCTTGTAAGAATTGCAAACATGCAGTAGTTAAGTTGGGTGGGAATGGAAATATTTTTTGGGTACATTTTGTGATGCAAAAGTTTATTATGTATGAAGTCAAGCTTTTAAATGTATGAAATTCAAGGTAATGCACTGGTTAATTTCATTTTGTGTGTTGATTTGGCAAGAAAATATAGCAAGCTATTACCAAAATTTTGATATTTAAATACTTCAACGTATACTAAATTATACAAAGTCAATTGACAACCAAATATAGCATCATACTACCAAAGTTTTGATGATTAAATAATTCAACAAAACATTACATCATCTAGTTAATTGTTTTGGACAACCAAAAATAGCAACATACTATCAAAATCTACTAAACAACTGTCAATGTTTTCCCAAAATAACCCCATGCCAAAATGTATACCCAAACAACAAAATACCTAAATAGACTACCAAACAAGCCAAACAAACAACTACTTATCAGAACATGCACCCCCTCACTTTACCCTATTCTTCCTTTTTGCTTCAACTTTTGATGATTGACTAATGCCCATTGCCCTTTACATTTCCTTGAATTATGCCCTTTGTTATGACATTTTGCATATGTAAATATGACATACTTCATGCTCAATTTGGTAGGTTGGCTTCTTGCCTCATCAACACCCCTCTTCGCCTTCTTATTTGGCATCTCAACCTATACATAATGAAACATGTTAGTTTTGGTTATTATATGCTAGCACTTTACATATTGTAAGTCTAGTACATGCCTATTTATGATGTTTAGGAGGGGTCACAGTGAAAGGAAAATTACTTTATGGCAACATGGAACGACCATTTATAGGATTCCCTTGAATTTGTTAAAGGATATTGTTTGCTAAAAACCTAGATGTACAAGGTTTAACAGATCTTGTTTGTAATCCTTTATGGTTTTCAACATTAAATACATGACTTTTTTGGGTAGCATTTGACATTTTGTATGGTACAATACACTTATCATATGTTATGGCTTCATCAATATCAATTACGTGTGATTGTGTTACTAAAAGTCCCTCATATTCAGGTTGATTCAAATCTAATTTCCTACTACAAGAACCTGTGTCTCTTTTTCTAAACTCTGGTGAAACAATTTCAAGTTCCAACTCCTCAATCACCACTTTGGATGGGACTTATAATATGTAAAAACCCTAGTGTCCCCAGTTTCAATATACACAGCGATTTGTCTATGTTTAAGGACATATGTGACCATTTTTGAAACATCACCGTCATTCCTTAAGGGAATTAAGCCATAATCTAATGAGACATCAGGGATATAATAATGGTAGTACCATGTCTACTTATTTTGGTATTCTAACTCTTTAACCATGTCATTAAGGCCGTGTATTGAAAAAAGGTATGTATCAATAAAGTCAACATATGAGGCAATACCATCTACATAATTTCTACTTGGGGGCTTGGTGAACAATTAATCCACTATAATGTATCGTAAAGATAAAGTAGTTGGAAAATCCTACTGCAATCCCAAATAAGAAAGGATAAACACATTGTGAGTCTTTAATCAACACGTTATAAGTAAAAAAAAATAGCTTTTTTGATGTAAAAGTGCATCGTATTCAACTTCCAATTCAATATTTTTTTTCCTTTTTTCATGGACATTCCAAACACAGTGTGCCATTATCCTTCGTTTAGTTGAAACGCTAAGATGCTTGGAGTTGCTCTGTTAATCGGAAGTTAGGAGGACCAATGAAGATGTAAGTTTCTTCGGAGAGGGACGAGGTTGATAGGATGGAGAGGAAAACAAGAGTACGTCTTACAAAATGATCAGTAACATTATATGAGGGAGATCAAGTGAAATGACGAAAATACCCTCACATACAAAGCATGTGAGGGCAATTAACGACTCCAATCTGGCGGAGTCAACGAAAAGGATCATCAATTAAAAGTTTTAAACTATATGGACCATCGTTAATGACCTAAAAAGTTAAAAACTGAACCCGATTTTTTATTTTTGAAAACCACAAAGACCATTTATGAAGATTTTCTATTTATGAAGATCTCTTCCTTTAATGAAACCACAGGGACCATTTATGTCATTTTATGTTATTTTTTATTTTTCAACTAATGTATAGTTTTTGTTAAATATTATTTTTTATCGGCTAACATTTAGTTTTGCAATCATCAACTTGTTTTCTAACCATCAACTAACAACTAATTAATTTTTCAATTAATCCGCTAAATATTAGATATGCTATCTTGTATTTAATGGTGACTTTTGGGTTTGGTTAGCTTATAATTGGGCTGATCACTGAATGCTTTTATGATTTAGTAAACTTCAAAAGGCCCATATTATAAGTTTTAACCCTAGTATTACACGAATGGTCCCTATGGTTTGGGGTAATTTGTGCGTTTGGTACCTAACTTATTTTTTTAGCTCGGAAAGTACCTACTGTTTGTTTTTGTTACGCGTTTGGTCCCTACTGTTTGTTTTTGTTACGCGTTTGGTCTCTAATGTTTTTTTTGTTACGCGTTTGGTCTCATTCTTAACTAAAAAGACTATTATTTAAATAGGAAAAAATAGTGGGGTATGTAAGGTAAGGTGAGTGGATGAGGTTGGGGTGTGTTTATTTAAATAAGTTAAAAAATCAAGGGAAAATAGTTTTTTTAGGTAAGACAGGAACCAAACGTGTAACAAAAAAACAAATAGTAGGAACCTTCCGAGTTAAAAAAATAAATTAATGATCAAACGGGAAAATTTTCCTAAACCATAGAGACCATTAATGTAATTTACTCTTTTTTCCATTCCATGCTTATGCTTACACTTACACAAACCTTTTCTTTTAAGCAAATATCGAAGAGGTACAATTTCAGTAATTCAGTCGGCAACAAATATCAAATCAAACTGCCCTTAAGTCGATTATGATGTGTCTGCCCGGAAGCATATTACGTCTCCTATGGAGTTCTTGACATTTTTATTCTTTTTCCAAACTTGTCAAAACAGACCAAAATACATCGACTTTATAAATCTACAAGTCAAACTGGAACAAAAACTATCATCATCCACCATATATACTGTTGAGAACTTGAGATAGTAGTAGGTTGTTCTTGTGTAATTTATAATGCAAGATTCTTACAAACCTTTCGTATAAGTCCCGAAATTCAGACAAAAAAGATTATTCAAATTAATAAAATATATATTATAGATTTGTATCACCAAAAACGATAAAGGTTGACCATATCATGATCAATTAGGTCAAAGCATCCATCCAGGGACTAATGCATTCAGATTCTGCCCATTTGTCGAATCCGTTAAATGGCTTGGACCAACTTCGTTATATAACCTGTTAATTTCAATTTCAATTTCAATATTTAGTTTGATCATTCTTATTTGTGGGTGTATACGTAATTAGAAATAAAGATTAATTACCCAATTTGCAAATTGGAGTTACAATCTAACGGCTGGAAGAAATCCTGCGATTGAGGATGCTGATCATGTTGTTGTTGTTCATATGAACAACAGTTTTGATGATGATCACCTGCCGCCCATGATGGTCCTGCTTGATTTTCTGCATACACTTCTTCCAGCTGCTAAAACAACAGCTTTTCAATTCGTTAATCTTTTACATTAAAAAAAAAAAACCCATCTTTATATATGATTATTTACAGTAATATTTATGTGTTGCATGCAGTTAAATTCTTATCAAACATACATTATGGATGATATTAATTAATTACCTTATTCTGCAAAGCTTTATTAGCTTCAATCCACATCCTTTCCTATAAATAATTTCATGGACTCACTCGTTTGTAATTAAGTTGTCATGGATGAGTATGAAGTCAAAAAGAGCGTGTGAATTTTTTTTACCTTGACTTGAAGTTCGGAAAGCCGATCAAGCATTGATTGTGTCTGTATTTTTTATTTTTTTTTAACCAAAACGAATACAGTCAATTTTTTGAAGAAATCATTGGTTAGACACGAATCTGTGAGTGTCAGTGAACAGTAAAAATGGAGATTTTTTTTACCCTTATGGACCGGATTTGTCTCAAAGTAGAGTCCAGTTGTCGTTCTAGTTGTTCAAGCTCCTTGAGACTAAGGGGCCCCAGGTCCTCCCCAAAAACTTGCCTGTCATTATCATACAGATACGAATCTTGTATGTTTCATTAATACCATATATATATATATATATATATATATATATATATATATATATATATATATATATATATATATATATATATAGATATATACTTTTATATATGTATATTTAACTAAGCACTTGTAAGTTTTTAAGAAACTTGCCTTTGGTACTGTTGTAGAGAATCGTATTTGGCCTTTAGTTTCATGTACTCCTTGTAGCTGTTTTGCTAAAGAAAAAAAAAGATTGAAAAGTAATTTTTGAAATATTTGTTAAGTGGTGTTTGGAATTTCAGAAGAAATTAAGAAAATTAGTAAAAGCTACAACGTACGTACCTCAGCATTGTTGGCTGATCTGTTGATTTCCATTGAGCCATAAGTGCATTTCTGGTACCTTTCAAGCATCTTGAGCATGCTGAAATAAATTTTCTCAAGTTCAATTAAAGTTTTTTTTAATAACAAAGTGAGTCGATTAAGTAGGAAAAAGATTTGGTGTTGGTAATTTGCCATAATTATCAAGGGTCGAGTGCTTAAGCAACTGGTAATCAGAAAACATAAGACATGAAAGAACCGATTCATTTCAGGAAATCTTGATTGATAAATTGTAATTAAGGTCAAAGTGTTTAAGCTAAATAGTTTTGAGCAATAAAGGATCTTGAAGTGACATATACTATACTATACACACAGATGCCTTCACATATACACACAAATTGAAATTCCAAATGATTCAAATATAAAAGTTTAAACACTATATTACATGATGTTGGTTGGTAATATTACTGTTTTACATGATTGCAAGTAACAATTATCATCAAAATGGCCTAGTGGTGATCACTTGGAATTCAAAGACTCAGAAATGGAATGATTTTCAGGTTTGAATTCCACAAGCTTCAACCTTGGAGTTGTCTACTTTTAAAAATAAAACATGTATTTGCATTGCCATTAAAAAGGGTCATATATGAATGTTCAACAATCGTTCACACTTTTTTCCTTCCATTATGATCATTAGAATTCTCATTGACAAATGGTATTTGTTGTGCTAAATCTTGTGTTTAATTAATAGTTTGTGGGATATATAATTAGAAGCTTCAAGAATTAAATGCACAAATATAACAATCAATTTTATGTAATATATATATATATATATATATATATATATATATATATATATATATATATATATATATATATATCATGGTTGAAGTGTTTCTCCATCCAACTTATACATTGTTTCTTGGAAAACCCTAATTACGGGTAATTGGGATTGTTTATTTAAAGTGTTTGTTAATTTAATGTGGTTTGGTGTGATAATAAACACTTTTCAGTGTTTGAATTGTCTATTATATTGTATATATATGCTTATTGCAGATTTTGTTACTTGGTAATAAACATTTTTTTAAAAGGTAGTCCATTCTAATTCTAACTTATTTCAAAGTTCTTATTAAAATGCAAAGCAAATTACATTACTACCCTTAAAAAACCCATTATCTTTGCTAGAATTCCTCGCCCATAACACCATGGAAATATTATTAAAGATTGTTGACGTGGAAAACACTTCCAGAAAATCCATAATTTTGAAATGATGACTTATATATTGCTGCAGTAGGTAGTAAACTATACTAAGAGTTGTATGAAGAACAAATTATTGATGCCATGTGGTCCAATTGCGTTTGAAGCAATTCCAATTACCTAGAAACACATGTCTGGACAAAACTTTTATTATATCATCATTTATTTCTTCAATTATGTGTACAAAAAACATGAACATTATGTGTACAAAAACATGAACTTGCTGAACTACAATGACTCAAGCAGACACCCTTAAAACTTAAATTTTGGAAATAACAAAAGGCTTTACTGATCTATTTAATGCTATTGATACAAGTTTTTGTAAAAAGATTTTTTTTTTTATTTTCAATTTACAACAAAAACCACAACCTAGCAAAACCACTAGGCAGTGGAGACAACAAGGTTTTGTTACAACATTACAAGCAACTGAAGGGGTTACAAAGCCAATTAGCCCAATTGCAAATACCCTTTTTACCCCTGTGTTTACAACCGTGAATTTATTAGCATTTGATTTGTATATTTTAAATAATACAAACAATTATTAAAGTCATTTCAGATTATTATTATCTTTTTTTTTTCGAGAAAACCAAATTTTAAGGTTAAAAATAAAATCCATAAGATTAAATTTTCCAAACATAAAATCCCAAATTTCAAATACAAAAATCTAGAGTTTCAAACATCAAATATGAGATTCCAAACGAAACATAAAAGAAGACATGGACAATGTGTTAAAGAAATGAACTTTTTGATTTGGAATTGAGAAATCAACGTGTGTGTGAAATTTGAAATAATAAAATATTTTTTCATTTTTTTATTTTATTTTTAAAGTATAAAGAAATATAATATTTAATTAATAAAATAATCAATTAAGTCAATTCGGTATAATTGGTTTGGTTTAGTCCGAACTCAAGTAGACCATATAATCAAATTCATAATTCAGCTTAGTCTGAAACCAAACTGAAATCGAATTTAAAATTTAATTTGTTCCTAATTTGGTTTCAGTTTGATTTGGTTTTCAGTTTTTTATTTTTTTCAAACCAAATAATACCCACCCTCTTTTATATAATAATAAAAAGTTCTATAATTAGCCATTAACATATTTTAATTAAAGATCTCATATATACTTTTGGTATATAAATAATCTGGTATTAGTACCAATAGATAACCATTCATCTTTCTAGGTATTTGTTACCATATATATGCAGATACATATATATGTAGAGCCTAGAGAAACCCTATATATCAACCAGCGAGTAAAGACACTTTAAATTTGCAATTTCAAGAAACTGTATATATATTCTTTTCCACGGAATATAATCTATTAACACGCATGCATCAAAACATGGTTATTAGATACTATACATTAGATATCCACATGAGATAAAAGCCTCCCAAACTGCACTTATCATTCATGTTTGCTCAACATTTAACAAATTCTTAATATCAAACTTACATTCTTCATCCCTTCAAACAGACAAGACTATTAAAGACTCTGACCTTTTAAAAAAAATTACTAAACATATTGACCAAGGGTTTAGGTGCCAAGAAACTGGAAGATCGACACACAGTGCACTAACCTCTTTTGAACACATCTTACCTTAAGAAACTAGGGTAGATGACAATTATTTTAAGGATGCAAGAAAGTCGCCATCATGTTTATTGTATCTGCTAATCAAGATATGAACCAAGTAAAACTTGCAGAGGAACCAAATTAAATTCTTTACTCTAATTCAACCGAAAGACAGGTAGATCACAAGGGTTTACTCAAGAAAATCGTTTTTTTATTAATTAAATCATTCTTTTCAAAACCCAAGAAGGATTTGGTTACTGTTTAGCAAGAAGCATGCAGAAAAGATTAATATAACACAGTAGCTGCTAGATCAATTCAATTTAAAGTAATCAACACAAGGAATTGTACACAAAAGAAACTTAGTTCTTCTTGGATCCTCTTTTTCTGCTCATCTGTGTTGTGATTCTTTCAACTGATGAGTCTGGCATGAGAAGATTTGGATAACAAACTGACAGATCGAAAGCCTAGATCTAACCTACATGCAAAACCTTCAAGACAACTTCTTTTAATGTGCAGAACTCTAAACTTTTAGCTCAAACAGAAACAGCTAAACTTATCACGATACCAACAAACAAAAGAGAACCCATATTCTCGAATTCTAAAAAGAAAAAGAAAAACACCAACAAAGAGAGAGAGAGATAGATGGAGAGACATAGAGAGAGAGAGAGAGAAAGGGAGATCTAGAGAGAGAAAGGAGTACTTGGAGGTGCTGCAGAATTCATAGAGCTTGCCACGGTTAGAGAAGATGATGAGAGCAACTTCAGCATCGCAAAGAACAGAGAGCTCATAAGCTTTCTTCAGAAGTCCATTTCTTCTTTTAGCAAAAGTCACCTGCCTGTTGATCTTGTTCTCTATTCTCTTCAACTCTACTCTTCCCCTACCCATAATTTTATATCTTTCCCCAAAAACGTTCCTTTATTTAATGGCTTTTCTTGATTCCTTCTTTATATCTGAACCAAAATCTTAATACGAAGATGAAAAGGTTACAGGAAGATTAGAAAAAAAAACAAAATTTAGAAATTCTTTCAATTGTGAGTGATCATACTGCAATTTCTATAAAGGAAAGATGAAAAGGTTACAAAAAGAATACACAGGCGGAGATGTTTTCCTTGGATTTTCTCTTTTCTAGGGTTCAAGATTTTGTTTGTACAGCAAGATATGAAATTTGGGGCTGGTGTTTACTAACCTTCAAAAGCTTCATGCTTTTAACCTATTTGAGAAGCGCAAGCAAGCATCAAGAAATGAGCGTATACCCACTTGCAAATAAACGCGTGATGATTACTCTCGCGGAATTCGACATGTAGTGAGAGCATAGATTTCTGTCACTTGTCAACAACTTTCAATGCGTATAACACGTGTCGAGTTGCAAGAGGTTAATTTAATATAAGAACCATGTTTAACTTTCAGTCTTTGTCTTGTCCGTATACGATCTTTAATTTAAGTTTTACATCAAAGTTTTATTTAAGGACACTCACAAAAATGAACAAAAAAATATTTTTATAACTCTTTCTAATTTTATTTTCTTGACATTTATTTAAATATTTTTGAACAAATGTTAACGTGGATAGTGTTGGTGATTTTATCACTAATGTTATTTAAGTGTAATGAGGTTAATTTGTTGATCAATGTCACTTTGACAAAAATTGAACAAATCGGTATAGTGCGGAGTGCACATTTGTTTAATTTTGTCTTTGTTGAAAGTATACTGCTATTTAGGGGCGAAGCCCCTAAACCGACAGGTGTCCGGGGGCAGCGCCCCTGGGAGCGGGGTCCAAGGGGCGGCAGCCCCTGGCGGGATCCAAGGGGCAGAGCCCCTGGCTAGGGTCGAATTTTTGGTAAATATACTCGGTTTTGTGATCCATATTCTAGACCCGAATTTAAGTTAGTTTATGACGTTTTGACAGTTTTAGGACATAAAACTGTCATGTGGCAGTTTTAAGACTGGAAGTTTTCTGGTTATATGATCATATCAGAAATCTGTTGTTGGTACTCTTCTTCTTCATAACATCTTGAACATTCTCTCTTCTGTTTTCTCAATTCTGAGTCTTATCCGATTAAAGATTGGGAGTACCACCCAAATACTTTAATCTGAAAGTGAAACCACAATTCTCAGAATTTCCAATGCTATTTTATCCCGATTTTCTTACAGATAGTGCATCTCAAAATATCTGATTTTGAAACCCAACATGTTGAGTAGATTCTAATCAAAATATTGTCATGCTTTGAACTTTCTTGTTTTTTTCCGGCTCAAGGTGAATCTAGATAAGAGCAAAATATCTGGTTTTGCAATCCAACCTATTAGAGTTGGAGTTTACTGCTTGGAGAATTAACTGTCAAGCGGGATCTCTCTTGCTTACCTAGGCTTCCCCATTGGAGTACCTATGAGTAGAGTGATCCATTGGGCCTCGATAATTGAAAATTTTCACTCCAAGCTATCTAGATGGCAAGCTTCTACACTTTCATTCGGTGGGCGATTGACTTTTTGCAAATCAGTCCTAGGTAGCCTTGGATCATATTATTTTTCTCTCTACAAAGCATCAGATAAGGTAATAAAAATTTTGGAGAAACCGAGATTGAGATTCTTTTGGGGCGAAACTCAAACAAGAAGAAGATGACCCGGATAGTGTCGGACAAGACTCTTGCACCAAAGGAACTTGCGGGATTAGACGTTGGCAATTTAAAAGCGCAATACTTTGCACTTCTCGGTAAATAGTGATGGAAATTTAGAGATTCAAAATATAACATATGGAAGGAGGTCATAAAATCCATTCATGGCTTGGATGGTTGCCTAAATAACCCAACTAGACCTAAAAGTAGAGCTGACAAAAATTGATCCAACCCGCCAAGTCGCCAACCCAACCCGAACCCAACCCAAAATTAGTGGGTTGGGTTGAGATTTTCAACCCATTTAAATTAAATAGGTCAACCCGTCTAACCTATTTAATTAAATAGGTTGGGTTGGGTAAAATTATCAACCCGTTTTCAACCCGTCAACCCATTTAACTTTAATATATATTTTTAATTTGATAATTTTTTGAATATTATCATATATTAATCAAAGTATTAATTTGTAAATTATAATGTTGCATTATTATTATCTATGTTTAATGAAATTCAATCCTAATTTACATCCTTTTTTAGCGTCGATAATACTGGTCACTCTCCAAAATCACTTTGAAACTAAATATTTTTAATGTTATTTGAACAATTTATTTTTATTTATGAATTAAGATTGTGCTTTTGTCATAATTATGAAGTTTTATTTACGTATGGAACTAATTTAAGTGGTATAATATTTAACTATATAATTTATTTAATTGATTTTAAATGGGTTAACCCAAGTTTAACCCATTTATTTAATAGGTTGGGTCGGGAACTACATAAACAGGTCAACCCAGTGACAACACATTTATCTAAAAGGTTGGGTTGGGTTGGAAATATCAACTCATTTAAATAAACATGTTGGGTTTGGTTGAAATTTTCAACCCAATTAATAAATGGGTTGAACTTGAACCCAACCCAGGTCAACCCATTGCCACCTCTACCTAAAAGATGTGGTGGCTGTTGGGGCTCTATAGCAAAACTTCCATTGGTGTTGGCTAAAAACAAAATCTAGTTCAAGGAATTCTTTCAAAACACTACTGATACAAAAGGGGTACCTTCATGGTCTTAGAGCTTATAGAGATTAAAAATTTACTGTCTCCTCATACAGGAAGTACTGTGATCTATCATCCCTTCCTCAATCTAGATGTTATTTGTTATGGAATAACCTTGTACCTCGTAAAGTGAATATACTCGCCTAGAGAGTTAATCACAGTAGGTTGCCTACATTGGCAAACTTGTCCAAGATCCGTATTAGAACATCTACAAACTGCAAAGTGTGTAATGCAGGCCTGGAAGATGAGTATCATTTATTTTTTTCTTGTCCGTTAACTAAAGAGGTGTAGAAAGAGCTGCAAAGTCTGTGACATTATCTCAATCTGAACCCCTCATCAACCAAGGAGTTACTTAATTGCAACCAAGCTTTCACAGGCCCATCATATTTATATGAGGTGAATTCAGCAATATCATTGATCTTCATTTGGGTTATATGGACATTTCGCAACAAGGCTATTTTCAATGGTACTATTAAGTCACAAACGGCTTTGACAAAGGAGGTACAACTACTCTCACATATTTGGATCAATGCCAGAAAAAAAAACAAAAACAAAAAAACAAGGGGGACATCTATGTTGGTCGGAATGAAACGCTAATCTGGAGCTCGAATGAGAAACTTTTTTGTTTAAATTTAAGGTATGCTTCTTTTTCTTAATGTTTCTGTAATTGTACTCCTAGCTTCTTGCGAGTTCCCCTTTTAATATATTTCTTACCTTGCCGTTAAAAAAATGCATTTCAAATTTCAAGGAAGTTTTTCTTTTAATTTCCTTTCAAGTAATTAAAATATGATTACAGAAATCCAAATATATTGTCATATATAAATGATAAATCTACTCAACTTCCACTTAACTAGTATCTGTATGAATACAACCTAAATTCCTGCTCGATCCTCTGCTCGATCCTCACAACAACTTTGTCATGAAATCTATATTATGGGTGGGGTAATTTAATTCATTCACATTTAGTCAATGGTGGAACTAGGAGTTCTACGGTGGCATGTGTTACTCCTTAAATTTCAGGCATAAGATAAATTTTTTGCGAAAATTTCGGCATAGTGTTAATTTTCCGGCGTGCTACCCCCAAAACCAACAAGTGTTACACCTTGGACTTTGTCATGGTTCTGCCACCACATTTAGTGGTTATGAACCATAATTTTGTTGTTTTGGTTGACCCAACTAAAACCCGTACCTAATACATTACTATACATCACAAAGTCTTATATCCCTTTGGATAAAGAAAGAATAGACGTTTCATATAATTTTTTTTATTCTTCAAATGCTTTTTCATGGATCTTGATCCAATCAAACTTCATATTTTTTCAGGTTAATAGATCAAAAGATTTGTTATCTTTGAAAAGTTATTTATAAATCTCTGGTAATAACATGTCAAATCCAATAAACTTAGAATATCGGTCAGATTTTTAGGCAAATCTCATTCCATAATTACTTCAATTTTCATTACACTTTGATTCGTTCTTCGGTTACTAGATGAATCAAGAATTGGATTTCACGAATTTAAAACGCACACCTAGAGTATTTGTAACGTCCCAAAATACCGAACAATAATTTCATTTTTAACCAATCAAACCATTCTTCATTTGTTCTAAAAAATAGTAAAAGTAATAGTTTTCTCAAAACATCAGAGTAAACATCACAACTAGCCAATGCGGAATAAACTCTGGGGGATGCAGTACCTGGAAAATGTTTAAACCACAAACCGTGATGTCAGATAGAGATTGATTAAGAACATGATTGAATCAATAAAAGTTATAAATAGACATGAGACTAAATAAGATCTGTATGACTCAATTATGTCTAAAGAATAGAAGAGAATATCATAGTACAAAATGCAAAATGACGCTCAGTTCGTTCATTAGTCTACTCTATGTACTTACCCTATTTATAGGGTACAACAGACTCACGAAAAGTTACAAGGACTAAACATTTAAGAGTCGAAACCGAGATGCCTTGTAAATAGATAGAGTGACTATAATGTTGGGTTTTATGTACTATAAAATCCCTATGGTGCACATACAACCCTAATGCTTTGGATCTAAGTTTTCTCTAATTATACATGCAATATTCATTTTTACCACCGTTTCATCTTTTAAACCTTATGGTAAAAAGATGCCTCCCCGTAGACTTATAGGGTGCGATCATACCAGCACTAATACACTGGATCTCGTCAGAACACCGCAGTTAAGCGTGCTTGGGCGAGAATAATACTAGGATGGGTGAACTTAGCACTTATACGATACCTACTTCTACTCACTGCCATAAATAAATCTCAGGAATGTTGGCTGAAACATTGAGAATAGTTCAACAAAACGTGAAATTTATATGCGTATATAAATAGATAGAATACAACTAGCACGACCATCGTACTCACGAAGTCGTTTCTCGCCATGCAACAGAATCATGTCTTCACATGGAAGTGACCAGCCAACCGGCGAAACACCGATTCTACAGATAAACTCCGCTACTTTTCAAGTCGTGGTCACAGCCGCCGTGACAGCAGTCATGGCACAACTCAACGCTAACAACACAAGCGGACACAGAAACTATAACGACAATGCTAATCGCAATAGAAACCAAGGACACCGACTAGTTTCTGTTGACAGGGAAACATCAGACCAAAAACCT